GGGAGCTCAGTGTCTGTGGGTGGTGCAGCTGCCATGACAGTAGCAGGTGTAGTAAGTGTTTTAACAGGAGGACTGTCGATACCTTTGTTAGCTGGAACAGGAGCAGTGGCATCAGGTCTCGGTTTGGCTACTAGTGTGGGTTCTGATGTTGTTGGTGCTGTCTTATCAAGTAGGACTATGAAAGAGGCCCAAAATATTTCAAAAAGCCTTGATGATCTTACAGCAGAAATCACAGCACTCATGGAGTCCCTCTTAACAAAAGCAACAGGCAGACAGCAACGGGGTAAAAATGTTTCTCCAGAAGAATATGTGAAGGAGGCGATCTTGAGAGCAATGGCCAAACGCAAGGGCTTGATATTAAAGGAGAAGGACAGTTTAATCAAGCTGTTATCTCAGCTGCCTCTTGAGAAGATCTTTAAGAACGACGCAGAATCAGACCTCTTCAAAAAGTCAACAACGGAGGTGCCACTGCTTTCAGACTTTGTTACAGGGTTGGTCTCAGAAAAACTCATGAAAAATAAGGTCAGCAAAGCCAATTCCCTGGGTTTAAAGGCATCGACTACAGCAGTTGGAAAAGTGAGTATCAGACAGCCATTACAATGGGTGGGGTTAAGAAATACTCTAGACCAGAGTATGTTTGTGTTTCCAGAACCACTAATCAGAGCACTAAACAACATACTCAGATGTGAACTAACATTTCAATATAAAATAATCTCAGTGCAGTAAATCCTGGAGCTCTTATTCTTAAATGCTCACTTTCAGATTGGCAGAGGGGCAGTAGGACTTCTGTTTTCGGTTCCTGAGCTCATCGAAAACTGTAAAAATCTGAACAACCATGAGACAGACGCCAGTCGGTACCTGAGAGTGAAGGCTGGAGCAATACAAGAAGCTTACGAAGCCATGAAATCAGAGCTGGATGAAATTGAGTGAGTAAAATGAGAAAAATTAATTATTTCATAGAGGGTGAAGGGCTGTTCTGGAAATATTGTTAGAGGCAAATCAAGGTGCAAGATGCAATCTGAACGGCCCAGCACCGTAAATACTGAAATAAAAACCATGCTAGTGCATCAGTAAATGTCAAATGAATTAATTTTTTTCATACAGCACTATATCACAACAACAGTCACTTCAAGGCCGTTTTTATATACCCCTACCCTCACTTAGCTGTGAGATGACATGAAAAAATTATGTTTCAACTCAAGAAGCTAACATGTAGCTATATTTCTCTTAAAAATTTAGAATCTAGTAAAATTGTTCTTGTACAGCTGTTTATTAATGGTAATTTTAGAAAACAACAAGATAACATTTAAGTAAAACCCACTACAAATTGATGTTAATTCCACATAGTTATTAATTTTGGTGCTAGTTAAGCAGTATACAGGACACAATGTCATCAAACTGTTAAACTCAGCTAAGTCCAACATTCCGGTAAA